CAGCGCTGTGCCGGTCCTGGGAGTCTGAGCCTGTGGGTGGACTTGCCTCCGGGCACAGTGCGCTGGGCCCGTGTCGCTGTGTAGTGCGTAGAAGAAGCATGTATTAAGTTGTTCCCTTCCCTGAGGGGCAATAGTGTCTTTCAGGGGATGTCAAGAGTACTTTTAAGTACTTCAGCGATTCTTTTGGTGATGAGGCATTTCTGCGATGCTTATTGAGGGTTATTTTGTTTCTCATTTTTAAAAACCTAAGCCCTCCAAGGAGTCCAGTATGGAAGAGTTTAAAGATCCAAGTCCACCTGAAAAACTGCTAGATGACTTAAAGCTTTCTGATCAGAAGTCTTCAGAGACTGGCCCCAAAGATGCACAGAATCCCCAAAACTTTGAAAGTGGATATACACCATCTTCATCCAAAGATCCCACAACAGCAGATGAGTATTTCCATGACTGTCGTGACTCCTTTGAGCCAAAAGAACCTGTGCTGGATGATGAAGGGAATTTACAGAATGATGAGAATAGCTCAAGGAAGCAGACAGAACTAGATGAAGAATACTTACTAGAACTGGAAAAAAATATGCCAGAGGAAGAAAAACAGGTAATCCAAAGTACCAATGCTGAATATAAAAAGATACATTTTCAGTGTCACATTTCTGAATGGTCTGTGACTGGCATGGAAATGGACCTTTAGAATTATTACATGTCTAGTTTTACTGTTCTTAGTTTCTTTTATGTAATAAATATTTTTGTTAGCTTTCCTTGCTGTTCTTAATCACCACATTCCGTTGCAGATTTTTTGTCTACTTTGACCAGTATGCAAGGTTGCTGTGACTGAGAGATTATAAGAAACAAAAATCTCCCTGTTTGTGTGCATTTATTGTTTCCACCTGATCAGCTGCAAGGTGCTTTTTCCAGAACTCAGGGCAGGTTTCAGGATAGCTTTCATATCTGAAAGGCTAGTTCATGTAATAGAACTAACTGGGATTAGATTTTAAAATATATCTATAGATTACTTAAGATTTAATCAAACACAACACATTAAATGTGTGGGTTTGTTTACTTTCAGTACAGTTACATCAGCCAAAATGTTTGGGTAACAAACAGGATAATGTGGGAAGCAATAGGTCTTAGGAGAAGCCCAACAGGCTCTGGTAGCAGAGTTTACTCCCTTGTAAGTATGTGGATGAGGTTTTTTGACCCTCGGTGAGTGGTTTCATTTGACAGCAGTTATTTTTCAGGGTTCTAAGATATGGTCATTGAGTAGTTAGATGAAAAAGAACTTTTTTTTTTTCTGACATTGAGAAAACTTGTTAAGTCACTTTGAGGATTAGACTGTTCACGTGAGTAATGTGGTGAATTTCTGCTGGGAGGGACTTGGCAGTAACTTGAATATGCTGTGGGCTTCCTGCCAGCTACTGTAAACAGAGAAGGAGGGGCAGAAACATGCAGAGATAACACGTCTGAGGCAACCGAACCTCTCAAATTTTTGTTCCAAACCAGTGTACAGAAGTTTAATCAAGTTGTGACTCAAGTAGTTCCCTTGCTAGTATGATGGGATTTCTTACAAAAATACATCAGAGAAGGCAAAAAGGTAGATTTTCATCTGTGGTACTGATTGTTATGTTAATGCAGACGTTCCTTGAGATGGAAAAGCAATATGGGACTAGTATGGAGAGGAATATAGAATATAATCTCCTTGAAGTAGAAATAAAGCTAAATGTAACACTTTTCTGCTGCTTGACCATGTGGAAATCACTTCCTATCTCTCTGTCTCTCAATTTTGATGTTTGTAAAAAGGGCATAATAATGCTTGCCAGCTGTAGTATTTTGAGGTCTAATAATGAACAATGGAGTTGGAAATCTTAAGAATGATCTCTTGAGGATCAGAAAAGAGAAATCTCTGATGCATCCTTTGCCCCAAAAGGACCTCTAGAGATCTAGTCCAACCTTCTGCTCTAAGTTAGATCAAATAGACTAGCCTGCCTGGAGCCACACAGACACCTCAGAGCGTGGAGACTGTACAGCCTCTCTGGAACCCTGTTCTAGTGTCTGACTTTCCACCATGAGGTTACTTTTTGCTTTGTATTTAATTAAAATTCACTATGTTGCAACTTGCAACCAGTGGCCCTTAATTTTCCGCATGCCTGGGGGACCAGTGCATCTCTGTTTACTCTAGCAGTGAAGTGTCCCCTGAGCCACCTTTTCCTAAGGCTGAACAAACTCAGTTCTCCTAAGTTGTCTGCTTAGGTCATGGTCTCCACTGTCCTGACTGCCTTGGGGGCCCTGCACTGGCCTCCCTCTGAGAAGTTGATGTCTTTTTTTTTTTTTTTTTTTTTTTTTTGCATGGGGGCTGACACCAAAACTGAACATTTCCCAAATACATTCTCTGAGGTGCTGCACAGAGGGCAATAGTTACTTCTGGACCTATTTGCTACACAGAAAAAAACATTCCATTGCCCTTGCATCTTTTCCAGGTTAGACTACACAGTCCCTTTTTTCTATATGTATTTGTTGCATGTACAACAAAGAGCATTGTCACCATGAGTCACAAAGAGGGTTCTGCAGCAGCCTATAATTTGAAGGCATCTTAAGAGTTTCATAGACAAAATGCTAAAAACTGGGGGGAAATTGTGTCATAGCATTAACTTCTAGAAACAGCAGTAGGCCTGGCAATTCAGTGTCTTGCTTTTCGTGCTGCTCTCATTTCTGTTGTATTGTTAGGTAATCATTTAATTTTGTACATCAGTTTTTCCTTTCTCTACAGTGAGCAAAAGAATCATGAATGTTGAATACTTGCATTCAGCTTTGTGGAACTCCATCGAAAGGTGCTGTAGGAGTACAAAATAACTGAAGCTGGGAGTATTTCTTTAGAGGAAATATTTAGAGTGCTGCAGTTCTCATCTTTCTGTAGGTTTATGTCCAGTGATTTTGAGCAATTGTGCCCTTCAGCGTGGTTTATTGTGCCAAGTGAAATGAAGGAATTCCCTCTCTTGGTATCACCATACTTGTTAGACTGGTAATGTTTACATTGTAAACTTTATGTTCCATAGAGAGGTTTCGGAGTGGATTATATAAGTAGTCTTTTAAATATAGCTATTTATTTCTCTAACAAAATGTTGTTGTCCCCCCCCATAAGCAGAATGTGAGAAATACAGAATCTGGAGGGGAATTGGAAGCTTACAGCAGTTGTTATAACTCCTGAAGTCAGCCATTTGCATGATCTTACCCTGCATCACCTTACATTCTCTGTGCAGTAAAACCATGGGGGTGGGTCATTCCTGAATTGCCAGTCCAGCTTTCCTCAGAGTAGTTGGAATTGATGGCTACAAATTTTATTTTCATTTTTAAAATTGAAATGTTCTGTATGTTTTGGTTATGAAAAGAATCCATTAAATGATCAGCTCTTAAGAAAAAATACTGCCTGTATGTATGGCCTGAAAGCAGCTGCTGTATATCCATTTATTTGGAGTTCTTCAAACATTTTAAACCTCCTTCCAGTTACTTGAAAAATTATTTTTAAGAAGGGCAACATGGTTTTGTTGGTGGTTGTGGTTTTAGGGTTCGCTTTTTTTTTGCAGCTGTAGAAAACTAAGCAGAAATATTCAGAACTTGTTTATGTGACTTTCTGTTGTGACCAGACACTCAGCGGCAGTGCTGTGTTTGCTACTTGGGCAGTCCTTGATCCGTTATTCTCAGCCCCCTGCTGCCTCTGTGTGAATGTGCAGTGAACCAGTTTCAGGGGATGATTCAGATGAAAAATAATGCTGTATTTTTAGATCAAGGACAGTGCTGGTAAAAGCAGACATCAGATGGCAGCCTTGTCAATGGTGTACAGAGGTAGATGTTTTTAATTCAGTCAGACTACTTGCCTAAATAAGAAAAACCTCCTATGAACTGTAGTTGCCGTAATCCTTGTGCTTGAGCAGTAAGGAGAGCTGGATGTTAGCCCTCCTTAAATCAAATTTATGGAGCTACACCTTAACAGTTGTTTTTTTAATAAATGAGTCCCTTTGAGCGATGTCCTCCAATAACTAGGCTGTAAAAAAGTCTGATTTATTCTGCAGATGCAAAGACAGATTCTAGTCCTTGCTCTGTATGTGTATGCATATTTGATGTGCAAGCTCTCATGGTAGCAGCTCCCAGTAGAAGTTCTCACCCATGCAGAAGCTGTTGCAGAGATTAAAGTGAAGGAGCAAGTAGTTGGCTGTTCTCTCTGATTTATATTTTGAGAGCCCCATACAGTGAGGTTTCTATTGAAGTCACAGGAATTACTTCCAGGGAAACAGTACCAGTACCATTACAAGTCTTCTCTGCACAATAAGACAAAATGAGAACTTGAAGGGATATTAAGACATAAACCTGCAAGAACTATTCTTATAAACAGATGTAGCATAGAGCTTGGTTACTTGCCTAGACTTGCAACTCTAAGCTGTTTTAAGAATTAAGCAGCCTGAAACAAAATTCACTTTTATAAGATTTTTTTTTTTTGGTTGTTATTTTAAAAGCATGCTGATTACTGCCTCAGCAGAGGCACTGAGCAGTAAATTGCTTTTGATACATTACAGACAGATTTTTCTGGTTAGTTGTCACTGACAGTGATGGCTTTGACGTTGGTCTGGTCTGCAGAATTAATCAGAAGACATCCAACAGCTGTTACATGGTAATTGTTTCAGTCTGACCCAGTCCTCTTCTGGAGAGACACCCATTAATTATGAGTTTATCTAACAGCAAGATTCTGAATCCCTCATGCTATTCCATCGTGACAGATGTTGTCTTGTTCTTTGGGTCTTGTCTGGCAAAGCTTAAGCACCTGGCTTAGTAAACTATTATTTTGGATATAGAAGACTCCTTTCTAGCTGCTATAAGATCCTGGAGTAAATACCTAATATTCCTCAAAAGCAATTCCCTTCTTTGGGCTTTGTGTGTGCATTGGAGCTACAGCTGGCTGTAATCATCATGCTCAGCTGTTATTTTAACACTAGGAAATGTGTCAGCAAGACAAGGAACACGGCTCTAGTAGCGGAGTTCCTTGATCAGTATCTTGTGAGCAAAGAGTTAAGTGAAACTCATCACTGAGAAATATTTTTGAGTTATACCTGAGATTTTTTTTTTCAGTTCTGGGCTAAACAATAAAACTTCATTTTCAAATTTTTTTTTTTTTTCTGTTTTGTCCAGAACCTCTAGGATCTGTTAGAGAACATTGTCTTAATCCAGAAATTTTTTAAACTGCTTACCTCCTCACTCTTTCTTCCCCATGCTTCAGGTTGATCCCATCGTTCTTTCATAAATTACAGCATCTGTGTAGAATTTACTTTTCCAGAGGTTGAAGAACTGATCTGGGATTTCTTCTGAGGTGGCTTCTTGTGTGTAATAATTAATTTCAACATCTGGTGTTTTCCTATTTCCATCTGTCCAATAGAGTATAGTGACCTTGTCTCTGTCAAAGTTGCTGTTTTTTCTATAGTGTTGGGAAAATAAAAGCTAAAAGTGCAAAATGGAAGATGGGGTACAGAGAATCATGTCATATTTTGGAGCAGTCCTCAGGAGTTGATCGCTTGAAGACGGTCTCAGAACTCTTTCTAAGAGGAATTATCTGTT